AGGGGGGTACCGATAGCATATATAACAGTTGGGGGGGGTACCGATAGCATATATAACAGTTGGTGCGTTTTTTTTTTTTCAATTTAGGTGCTAATAAATACATGTACTTCATACCTTTAGGATGTGTCCACGTGACCAGCTGTGATGTATCCCCATACCCTGCCGACGTTCTGGCTTTCAAACTACACGTATACCTAGTCCCCGCTGCCAAATTTGTGAAAACATGACTTCTTGTAGCCATGGTGAGATTCTGTTGTACATGTAAGTCAATATTACCATCTGCGTAGCATTCAATCTGAAATCAATAAAAATCGTGGAAACAACTGTGTCTGTTACAAAAATATACTATAACAAAGGGTCAACATCTGTACATGTACTCTCAAATATCAAATAGTCACCTTGAAACCAGTTATAATCCCATTCCTGATAAATGGTTCTCTCCATGAAAGTTCTAAAGATGTGACCGACCTGCGTGTAGTGGTGAAGTTAGTAGGTGGTCCAGGTTCTGTGTAAAAATAATAAAGATGCGTTACACCTACATCGAAATAAAACATAATGTCTACATTATCATAACTCTTCTTATTTTCGCTGATTATTATGGATAAGAAACTTGGCTTGTCTCAATTTATAAAGATATCTGTTAAATACGTACTTCCTGCAACTGTTATGGTTTCTATGATGTCACTATAATCTCCATAACCTATGATGGTCTTTGCACGAATCTAAGGTAGAAAAAGTCATCAAATTTTACCAGGTGAATGTCTAAAAAACGGATACAATTGAGGCAATATTCAGTTACATTCTTGTTTATGCTTCACGCTTATACATCATGGATATAATTAAAATTACATTTTTTTTTACTAGAAAACAAAATTAGATAAACACAATGCTGTTTTTGGCTTGTCGAATACTTCACGATTCTAATATTTGTATATTGTAGAACTACCTGATTCGCTGTTTAATTGTTAGGCAACAGCCTTTTGCAACATTGAGCTAATATAAGTAATATCGTTTCTGAAAAGTGTATATGCGTTGAAAACTAACCCAAAACCGGTATGTTTTGTTGTGTCGGAGGTTTTCTATAGATTTCTCGCGAATCCCGGGGTTCACGATAGCTTCTTTCCAGTTTTCTCCTCTAATTGCATATCCTATATCGTATTCAGTTATTATTCCCCTTGGAGGTCGTGGTGCTTCCCAGTACAACTCTACGGCGTCGTCACCTCGACTTACAACGGTAGGCGGTTCCATTTTTGGTGGAACTGAACAAATAAAGAATAATTTGCTCGTACTGATATTCAACCAGATCTTCGAGGTAATAATGTAAAGCTCCTGCAATTGCGAGAACAAATTTTGACCCACTCTCGCCGGTGTGTAACAAAAGCAAAAAAGACTACAATATTTAAGATTACTGGCAGATTTTGTATTCATCAAAAAAACCGAAATGAGATTTTTCGTACATCTTAATTATTATTCAATCTAATATGTTGCTGATTTAAAACAATGAAAATCTCCTCAAAAGTATTAAGTATCGGCGTTCATATTTTCATTGCTAGGCATAAGCATAAGCACCTCGGAGTGATTGTCGTTCTGCCAGCAAATATTTATTAACTGGGCAAATTAACTAAGACATGTGTTCGTTAATTAGTAGACTTTAAATTACACGAAGTCAAGGACTAGGTGTCCCGTGTCGTCTTGTTTGTTTTTACCAGCTAATACGTTCAATAATGACAAATAAAATCACATGCAATTGAATTTATGCAACATGCAATTTAATGAGGTAGTCGACCAATAACATATTCCGATCAGATCCCCTGTTGCGCTTAATCCATATGCAAACGTATGTGATATGCTACTCACAATGCCAAGCACGGCCTTAACTGTTGAGGCACAGTTAGGAATACCCAAATATAGTTCAGACTATCACTTTGATTTTTGACTCAAAAGGCGAGAACACAATAGGTTCTTCAAGTATCTTGCCAATTGTATATGTCATTAAGTTAACCAGTAACAAAGTTATCGAACAGAGGTGTTTGAATTGGACGCTATCAACGCCGTCGTACATGTGTGTCAATTATATGTTTTCGATGACATATGGTTCAGTTTGTAGGTAGACAGGATACCTACCTCCCTCCGGTGTGAGCCCGTAAAGTGTGAACACTGGACCTTCAAGATTCAGATTATTCACCGCTGATAAGTTGACTGTATAATTGCTGTGGGGAATGAGGTTTTCTATCAAAATGTCCTGACTTTGTTTAACATCCATTACTTCCACATTGATGTTGTCCCCGAACTCTCCTCTGACGGACAGTTTTAGCTTCCTGAATCCATCACACCTGTGAACCGCTTCCGTCATTCCCTAAAACGTGTAGATGTATAGTGTGGTATCAAATTAATTTCAAATTGTGGACAAGGTTTAAACGAGCTCGAAGACACATTTCAAATCCCATTTGTAGAAACAAATATTTGGCAATAACTTTGAACGCTGTTTGAACAATGATCAAAAGGTTGACGTGTGTTTTTATGTATGTATTAATCAACCTGTGATCGATTTAGTAATGAATTAGAGCATAAGATGAAGTATCATATCTATATACATGTAAAACACCAGTTGCATAACTATAAAGGCGCACCTGTGTTCGTATTGTAATCTGCGAAGCATTCCAATGTGCTTTCAAGGAAGCTCTTAGAACTGGTTGTGGTATAATTACAGGAGCTAAAAGAAAACATACCCACATGTATGTACGTACAGGTATGAGAGCGCGTGTGATAGGTTATGAATGTGACATGAATTAATTGTTTGTACATTAAAAAACACACAACTGAAATGTATGATCTAAATATGAATGTCGTACTGTTTCATAAAATCTCATGAAATTAATATTCAGGAATTATGATAGATTTGATGTACATACTTCCACATGTCCGACTGGTTATACTAGGACTTGGTTTCCCCTCCTGCCCTTCTTCGTCTTCTACAGATACAGTGAAGTTGTACTCGGTGTACTCGAAGAGGTTTTCAATGGTGGCAGACTTTGCATTGGCAGATAATGTTTTGGTATTATCAACAGCATGACTGTCTTTCCAGGCTCTGGCGATGTAAGAGCGTACGCTTCCTACACCTTGGCCACTCTCTGAGGACCATCTGTCCCAGCGTATGTTGACAGAGTGTACCGTTTTAGATGTCACTGTAGGGGCTTTCTCTAAATGCGGTCTTTCTGTTTTTGGTTACAAGATGAAAAGATGATACTACTACCGGCATTTTTGTGACTAAACAAAATATATGTAACACATACACCCGAAAAACATCGCAAGAAAATGTTTACTTAAGCTTAATATACGAAGACTCACTAATACCAATATGGAACAGAAATGGTTATATATATATATATATATATATATAATTTCCAAATCACAAACTTAAAAAAAAAACTTTTCAATCACCTGGACTTATATTAGAATTCGAGAAGACAATTTTGAAAACGGCACAATGACCTACATAACCGCTTGTAGATTATAGTAAAATGCGTGTGCCATTTTAATCTAGTTACAACAAGAAAAACAAACGCTTTTTTACCTTGATGACATCCATTGTCTTTCCAGTATCTTTGACATCCTCGGGGACATGCAAAGCCATTTGTTATACTGCAGGCAAAGTCGTCTCTGCAGTGACACGTATATCCACATGTTTGTCCAAATGTCCCACTAGGGCACTCTACAAACAACAGAAATATAATAACATTAAATCTATCCCACTGTTAACATTAAACATAATGCATATATATATATTTTTGAAAATACATAACAACGTACATGTATAGGCCTACTTTACTGTAACAAAAAACTTATTTACCTCTTTCGTCATTTAGCACAACGTTTATGAAGTAATGGATACTTCCAGTTGCGGAAACACTTGATCAAAAACGGTTCAACCTTGGTTATTTTACACAAATGCTATTAACTCTTATATTATCGGATCATTACCTGTTTGACAAACGTTCTCCTGATTCCTCCAACCATTCGCACAACCAGACCCACAAGCACCTGTACGCCTGTCACATACCTCTGCTGTGTTCTTACAGTTACATTCGTATCCACATTCTGGACCAAACGTCTTACTATTAGCACATTCTGAAATTGTATATTGTGTGATAAAAGATAAAATGCTTGTCTCAGAAAAAAATTAGTTATATGCCCCCTCCCAGGGCAATTTTTATCACAAGCTTGATGTTAACTGAAATACAAACACTTTAAAAGTAGAAATAATATATACAGCCACGTACACGGCGTCAAACATACTGATTTTAACAGCAAAGAGCGTTTGCAAACCTTGGTATTTATATCCTTTCACCATCACCTCACAGAGAGTCAATTCATTTGCGGGATTGTTATTCAGACTGATCCTCACAAACTGTCCCACTATAGGTGCAGTATTACAGGGCAGTTCCACGGTGCCACCTGGCGGTAAGTGTTCCACTCGACTGGCACAATGGTAAGATGTGTTGTTTGGTGAGACTGCGTTGATTTCAATATTCTTCAAATTCTTACCGCCTGACAGATATAGTAAAATAATGAGTATTCTATAACATTACTTTACCTAAGTACTCAGATAAAATCATATTTCAAAAGATAGTAGCCGATTTTCTATATTATCCTTAACACAAGAAGTACATGTATTTGTTAGATATCATTAGTCACGTATACGGACAGTTAACAAAATGATTACTTTCGCCTGCCCTGTTCACTAATGTCACGGAGTAGATGGAGAACGTGCCGCCAAGATCAACTTTCCACCATGGGTTGTGTTCAACATTTGTGTGTGAGCAACTTCCACCATCGAAATCCGTGTCTGTATTGCCATCTATGGCGTATTTCGCTATCCAATTCACTCCTTTGTGGCGAATAAAACTAGACTGGCTAGCAGTCTTCCCAAAAGCTATGTTATCTGAAATATTAACAGTTAAAAGTTTATGACTATAAGGCGTGATATTTACATTGTACCTGCTTTGGTTGTAATCGTTATACCCCACAACTCATTTACATAAAATACTAGTAGATATGACCATACATACATGCAGTCTACTAACCTTACGACTATTATTGCTACAAACCGCTGCAGTCAATATTAAAAACAACTTACACTGTATAGTCAATGGCAAATTTCTTGTATGCATTATAATGGTATCACTTACAGGTAATAAGACAGGCCGATTTGCTGATTAAGTGACATTCTAAAGACTAACGTCTTACATGGATATGTATACCCTCGAACATTGACCTCGCACAGCTGTAAAGACTGAGATCCAGATTTTGAGAACTTGACATAGCGACCTAGAGCTGGAGGATTCACCAGTAGCTCGAAAGAACACATGTTTGATAATTGTGTGTTCCCTTGTTGAGTCGTATCATTCCCAATATACAGGGTGATACCTGCATCTGTTTGACCTTAAAAAAGAAAAAAAATGCACCATAATGTTGAAATAACCATTCTTTGTTTAAGATCTACAATTAATCACGATACACGTAGGATTATAATATTGTACTAACAGGTCTCCCCTTTTCAGAACCGAAATTGGAGCCCAGGCCGCATTCCTACACAAAAAGGGGATGAAACCCACACTGAGGTCATACAGTGGATAGTGTACTGCAAAATATCCCAATTGTATCATATATTTCAAACCATTTAAGACAGCAAGGAAGAGGGGGAGAACACACAGAGGTCACCAAGCACCCTCACTTTAAAATTCACTGGGCGCTGTTCCAGTGCAGACATGGTACAGTTTAAGAGACTCTATAAAACTCATCAATTGTAAACTCTGAGCATTTACACTGTACCTTATGATCAGCCTCCTCACAGCTAGATGTTTTCAACAAATACATGTATATCATTTATGTACTGGACACTTATCAAGGTTTGGAGCTACTTATATCTTCAGCAATGGACAATTTTTTTTTTTTTTTTTTTTTTTTTGCAATACGTACTGACATTGTAGAATCTGTTATATATGAAATGTTCTCATACATACAGTTGTTTGGCATGATAGCCGCCACAGTGCGGATGACGTAGAGACCTCCCAGATCCACCTGCCACCACGGGTTAGTGTCTTGGTTTGTTCTTGCGCACATAGAGACATCAGTGCTGTTGTTTCCGTCTACTGCTAATGATGGGTACCCATCTGTGTGATTACTTGATTGTTTTGTAGGCTTTTCAAGGGCTAGATTTAGTTTTTCTGGAGAAATCCAAAACTTATGCAACTTGGCATTTCTGATGATTATAATACAAAAACCCTTCTGTCATTAAAAATTACCAGATTATCTAACAATTCTAATAAAAAGGCAAAAGTGGGCCACACCAGTATTTAAGGTCTATTTTTATTTCAGTTAAATCTCAACAACTTAACATTTCAATAATATTCTAAGTGATTTATAATTCAAACATTCCACCTACCGTCCACACACCCTATCCCCCAGGGGTTGTCCACACAGTGACTAGGGCAGTTTGGGGACAGAGTCTTCTGACACGTTTGACCCTGTTTACAGAAGCATCCAGTTGTTGTGTCACATACCCAGCCGAAGTATCCGTCACCGGCATTACAACATTGAGTCTGATGTACTAAAACAAATTATTTAGCTATCATATCACCTGCAGGCCCAGATGTTGTGTCACACAAGCGGTTTTAATTTCAACCTCTGCAATTCCAGGTAAACGATATTCTGTCTTCTTCTACTTAGCTCTCAAGAAAATGATTTATAACAGTTATAGATCTTTTTACCAGGTAAACGTACGATGCATGATAAGATATGCTTGTGCTGTTTTCACTAGAAATCGGCAACAAATTATGGACATTGAGGCCTTATGTGTGTGTCCCGAACTTTGATCCTACTTTTCTGGCACTTGGCATGTCTTAACAATATGAAAAAATTAGAAATCTTTAACTTGATGCGTATGTTTTTTCAAATACTGCATTCACTTCTAGCACCGACATCCGGGTTTTGTGCAGCTTAAAACAGTATCAAAACAGTCGATGGGTGGTGAGGTACGTCAGGAGTGAATTATTTCATTTTTTTGCGAACGTTCATAGCATTTTTATTGAGATAAGATACGTCAACTAAAAGTAGAGTAAGAGCGTGTTTAATTAAAATCTTTCACTGTATCTCTAAGGTGGTCTAAGAAATTTTCAAACTGTTTGAAAATAATAACTTTTGCTGACTCGTCACATCATTATTTTTAGGATGATGAGTCTTATTTAATATTTCATATTTAATTTTTATCCCTAAGGCCATAACATTTAATGCAGGCAACAATTTGCTACATTGTTATTATTGTTAAAATTATTAGGATAGTGAGTTTATTTAATAAAAGCGGCCTTGTTTGGCCAAATCACGAACAACCGATAGTCTTTGTTGCCTTCTCTTTTGTTATGAATGGGACTATGCAAGTTTGTGGTGCACTGGGATGGAGGAGACATAAATAACATTTAACAAATAGACTACAGATACATGCATTTATTTAAGTTACTCCATCCAAGAAGGCTCTAGTCCCATGAAAATCCACACAATCAATGGCACCCAGGCTTACCCTAACTGAGTTTCACCAACCCAAGATAACTATAACAACAGCATAAGTGTGTTGAAAACCTACAGAAAAGAAGACGCTACAGAAGCTATCAAAAGAAACATGTGAGATTATTATAATTATTTAATGGAATGCGCTCGAACAAAAATGATAGTGGAATAAGAGAATATGACAAACAAAGAAAAGTATAAAATTAAATTGTTTTTAATAATGGGAAGGGAATGCAATGATTCAGATTTTATAACTCTACTGTTGGGACATATTGAAATAAAACTTATTTACCTGAGAAAATGAGGGTCCAAATAATCAGGAAGTAGTGCATCGTTCAGACGTCCTGTAAAAACACCCAGTGTTAACAACTCGCAGTTAACGAATGCGATAAGGTTGGGTAAGATTTAAGTTTTTATTAAGGGAGCTCTTATCTTGAAAATGTAAACACTACAAAATCGATTTATTTGAGAGGTGACTTCGTATTTAAAAAAAAAACAAGATTTATCACCAGTTACTTAACAAAAGCGTCACCATCTACATAATACATGTTAATTAATTATTTACTTGTTGATAAATGCTAAACAGTCTCTAACAATTTCAAGTCCCGATGATTACAAAAAAAAAAAAAAAAAAAAAAATGCAAATGCAGAAGTCTTATTTCTTAAATGCTGTATTTATTTTATTTAGATGTTATGTAACACGTATTATTATGTTAAAATAAATAAATTTCATGAATACTTATGTTATTCTGGTTTTGTTCTATAGAACCTTCGTTATCCCAGTACCAAACGTCATCGAAAGGTAATATAATTGATTTATCATGCGTTGCTTATCATGAACTGAATGTTTTTATTTGTCACTCGGGTAAAACATTATTACATTAGATAACATTAGATAAACTCATTGTGTTAGTATATTCTTCCTACATTACAACCGTGTGTCTCTACTATCACAATGTACCCTCATTTTTATTAAAACGCCCTCTCACTACCATTCATTTAGCTATCTAATTGAGAGTACAAAGACACCCTTCACAGACGCTGAAGAGTTTATTTTAAAAAAGATCATGACATAGAGGTGCTTATTTAAGTTCTGTAATTTACGTGAGAAATAAAAAAAATATTATTCACGAGAGAAGATCATCTCGTCAGGCTGTATGCCTGTATTTGAAGAGTTGAGAATGGAACTGTCTTTGTATTATCAATAAGTTCATAAATTGCTGATTCTTAAATCTGCCAGTTTCTTGTCAAAAACTTTCTTAACAATTAAACCGAAAAGCAAACCGAAAAGCTTAAATTTAATTTGATACAATATTAAATACCTATTTCTATTCGCTACTTGTCGTTTTTCCAGTGACTGATCAAAAGCTATAATGTTAATAGAGGTAGGTCTATGAGTTACTCATTTTTGTTTCTTCAAAGAAAACAGCTCACAAACTACTTCATTTATTAACATTTAACATCTATAGTACATCTGATGGATGTATTATATGCAGTAACATTGTGCTTTTGTCTATCAACCATATTTCACGACAATGCGTTTTTCTCAAATAATCACTTAAATAAGGATTATTTAAATTACTTAAATTCTACAGTATTTATCTGTTATGACGAACATGCCCTCTACTGTTATGAGGTTTAACGGCTGAATCATTAACACTATGTATACGTTACTACCTCATACCTTGGATTTGTAAAAATGAAAAAAAAACATCAGAAATTGGAAGTACATGTATACTATTTGATATAATATATTTAACAGTTGATGCGAGGCGTGCTGGAGAGAATACAAACATGCATATTTTATATTACAGCATAAGTTATTTTGAATAGTTTTCAACTCCCAGTGCCATTTAGTGGCTATCAAGCATAATACCCTGAAACCGATCCTCTAGTTTATCATTAACACAAAACAACTATCCAGATTATTTTAATACATCTTTCATTCATTTTGCTATGATAATTGCTTTCGTGGTGCCCATCTTGGATTTGGCGCCCATATTGAAATTTTCAAAATATATATCCAAATTTGCTAAGAATTTCATAATCCGAAACTGCGCCAAATTTCATGCTTGTAGGTTAAAAAATTGCACGATTATTCACCGAGGCGCTGGACTATAGGTGTCAAATCTCCAGGCGTACTCTTCGACTGCAGCATAACAGAACCTGTACTGTTCCTGGAAAGAATTAATTGGTGATAAACATTTACGGTGAGCGATTTCACACAGCAAATATAACTCCAAACATTCATAGTTCATCCATTCTATATCTACAACATAACTGTAAAAATATCATAAGCGAATGATGTACTGCGTTTTGTATGAAGATGGATTTTATGGTAAAGTAAAGCCAACCACTTACCAAACTATCTATGAACTGTGGTTTGTTGATTCGCACGGCTTTCACAGTGTGAAACACGTCCACCTGTTGTTCCACTTTCATCTTCTCTAATATTCTGTCCAGGGCACAAAAAACGCCGCTTCGATGGTCCCCGTTCCTGAAATAGCCATTATCACTCAGTTAAAGATTAAAAACTTTTACATTATTCATTTTTACGTGATATTTGAGAATAGATTTTGTACTCAGAAATGTAAACAAATACAAATATTTTAAGAGAATAATGTTAAAGAAGATTTAATTACACGGTAAGTTTAACCAGTTTAATTGACCATATTTTGGCACACTTAAATACATAGGGGCCTACTAGAATCCGTGTGCACCACAAAACAAACTCTATCAGTATCGTAAAATTGTATAATGAAAATAAAATACTTTAAATAACTTAGCTGTTACAAACTATGAGATGTTAAATACTGCAAAAAAAAAAAAAAAAAAAAAAAAAAAAAAAACAATGACATTGTTTGAAGAAACGATTAAACTGGTTGCTTACAGGAAACTGGAAAACAGCATGGCAGTAATTAGAGCTTTTCATGTGTGTAAACAGGCACATGTTGAAAAAGTAAAATATGCCTTACATGCAGTGCACAGTAATGGTTGTGTTTCCACTCTGCTGTTGCCAGTGTTGCACTTCATCCAATAGTTCTAAGAGTGGTTCTGTTGAGGACGGTGTGGGATCCGACGTCTTCCATCCTTGGAGCTGGAACTGGCGTATCTTGCGAGGTTGCTCTTTAGTCTGTACTTAGAAAAATTAAGAATGAAATTGCTCTCTCTCTCTCTCTCTCTCTCTCTCTCTCTCTCAGTCAAACACAAATAGAATTGTTTTCTTCAACCAGTGGTTGGACAGTACTCAAAACACGTCGTTACATGGGGTTAAAACAAACAGGTGAAACCAAATCTTTAAATCGTGGACACAAATATATTATTTCTAGTCAGAAAGGTTTCATTTATGCTAGATCCTGAAATTTGATTTACCTGTTGACTGTTTCGTCTGTTCACTCTGACAGACTTGGTCACAACTGAATTACCTGTTCAGGTGAAGGTGAACAGGTAATTATCTCAGTCTTGATGATGACTTGTTAGCCCCTCTCGCCCCCTCCCCCCCCAGGGGTAAATCAAATTTCAGGTAAATCAAATTTCAGGATCTAGCATAAATGAAACCTTTCTGACTATCAAAACTAAGATCCAATGAAACTATTTTCACATATATTATTTCTTATCTTATCCAAGTGGATTATACAAGAGCTCTGACTATTGGTAAACTATATACCCGGTTTCTACTTTTCAGTGTTAATTCCTTGATAGCACAAGAATTCACTGCATCGAGCGTTGATACTACTTCCACTGTGAAGGGTCCATAGGTTGTAGAACCAGATTTAGGGACGCACAATGCAGTTCCCTATAAAGATATATACTACTGGAGAAAACACATCTGAGCCGTTATAGATAGTGATCCAAACTAATATGTTAAAATCAGTAAACTACGAAATCATGAATTTTGGAACATACAGTATAAGCAATATTGCCTCTGTACTAAAAAGTTTTGTGAGGCAGTGTAGATATTTTAAAAATACAAAAACACAAACTATTACTATTTCCATCAAAATAGCTCTCCCGGTAAATGTGTATATTGTTACAAAATTTCACCAATGCGTCTTCTTGTAATATAAATATGTACCCTTGGACAAAACAAACACGTACAATTTCTATTTCGGCTGCTTCATTCATCATGACTATTGTAGCAGAATTGTGATCATACATCGTTCTCCAGAAGTCCACCACAGTATCAGGTAAGGGCGTCTGTGTCACGATGTAGGCATCAGCACGGCGGTAGCCCTGGGAAGCGAATAAGAGACAACGTTGAAGATTAACACTAATATCACAACTACAATCATCTTACATAAAAAACATGCACACAATTATAATTCATTGTGTTCACTGATTCTACCCTACTATATTTAATTCAAAGGTTTGATTTTGTTCTTCTCTTGGCAAATCTAAAATTCTTGATATTCGTCAATATCAGTATCGGTATGTCGACAAAAAGTACAGAATGGTCTGACTTGCATCAAGGAAGAAAGTGTTGATGTAGTCAGCACTGCCATCTGCAGGCGTGGAGAGATACGGTCTGCATCCGTTTGCTGGGGTACTGTTCCTGACACAGTTTTTGTTCACGCTGACTGAAGTCAGTGGTTTCTCGATGTCATCAGACCCAACACACATTTGAAGAACCTTAAAACCAACATAAAAAAGCTCGCATAGAGTTCAACATACAATAGGACTGAAACGCTGTAATATATATAAAAAACAATGTGTTTACGTAACAGGCATACTGTAGCTTCATAAACTGTATTAGATTATGAATTTGGCCCAGATACACGTTTTTACCAGCTTAACTACATACATTATTTGGTATGGAAATCCCCATTTGAAATGTTTTTAGATCAAATATTCATTATATAATACGTATTTAATGTATTCAGCAATTATTTTTTAATTTTCTTTTCAATTAATACATACTGTTTAATTGAAATACACTCACTGCAAACTCTCTCTCTAACTTTGATAGACCAGATTTTATGTCCACCTGTTTCAGTCTATGAAGATACGGCTGCAATTTCTGCACCAGGACTGTCGTGTTCCCGCAGTACAGCTCCTCCAACATGGCGTCGTGGATGAAGTAGTATTGCTCCTGCATTGAAACATATGTATATTGACCCATTAGAGCCTGCGTCATCAAAACAAACGGCAGCCATTCTGGAGGGAGACCGGAATCGTCTGCTGCGCATGAACAAGCCATGTCTGTAGTTCAGTTTTCGTTTTCTGTATTTTCTTTGATATTTAACCGAGCAAAATGATGAATTACTGCAGGTTATTTGATCGAGAGAAGATAACTAACTTTACAAGCGTTCACAGGCTGCCTGCAGTGGTAACAATCCATGGTGAAGGAACTAAAACCATAAACGGAGGAGAGACGGCGAGGTGGCTTTGAATCAAGACTCTTCGGAAAAGTAAAGGATAAAACTAATTTATTTTATAGCAAAGAATGAAGAGCCAGCGGTGCAGATTTTACCATAAAAGAAAAAACAGTAGAAAACCAAAGACCTAGGTGTGTAGGCCTACATTTGGGGACGCACGTATGTTAAGATACTTCATGGTATATTACCACTTCATGAGATAAATGCCCTGATTTTACTGTCAAATC